AACAAATATTTAAATCACTTGATGGGGGCTTTTAAGTAATGCCAGGAAAGGAGACCAGTCGCAGGGGTTAAATGAGCACCTGGATTATATCACAGTGGGTGTATCCAGATATCTATCTATCCCTTCTCCTTCTCCTGTGGATACAAGTACAGCAACTTTCATTTCATGGAACGAGCCACTCGCTGTTTTCTTGGCTATCCAGGACTGTCTAGGATCAACATAGCTTAGATAATAGTCCAGTTTCTCACGTGGGTGGGCATTGTTAAGGTTCAAACCCACACCCTCACTATATCAGTGTATTTACCCACGTGGGCGCGCGACAGGCGGCCATTGTGATGCTGACCACGTCAACCAATGTATGCCGTTTGGTCTATAAACCACAGGTCTTTGCCATGTATCCTGTTGTTTATGTAACCTATGGTGCCATTTCAATTAAAAAAAAAAGTAAAGGACCTTTTTCCACGCCTTTAGGCTAGGGCATATAGGGCTAGACCTATATTTTTATAGACCAATCGGCACAAGATGGGTGATGTGGTCAGCATCACGCCGGCCGCCTCTACTTCCCGGGACTGCACCCGGTACCCACTCAAGGCTGGGTCGACCTGGGAGCCAAGGTCATTTTTGAAAATAGTCCGGCTCCGCCAGGGAGCGAACCCACGACCTTCCAATCCGCCGCGAGCGTCTAGCCGCTCGGCCATGGCGACCCCCGCCATTTCAATGGTTTGAGATTAATTTTGTCTGTATTCCATAGTTGTGGATTTCAAGCTGTACAAGACACATAGCCAATGAAGTTACCTTTTATGGGGGTGCTTAGTTGACCATGTTCTTAGTGCAATTGTTTCTATAGCGAGGCGCACGCGCCATTTGGAAGGGGTAGGCTCAATTTCTGGCACGGTAACTATAGCTTTCGATTTAAATGCTATCTAGTGTGCTCTTCTATCTTTCAACACCTCTCTATGAATGCCGATACTAGGTTTGTTTATTACATTGAATATTTCTACTGCCTCAAGGGTTCTCCCTCTGTTTATTTAATTGATTACAATACAATCCCTGAAGGCGAGCAAAAGAGTTCTTGACATTTTACTTAGACATTTGGAGCAAGAGACTGTACAGCGTCAAGGGGTTCAGTTACAGTCTCTGTCGTGTTTTAAATGACCTTGGCTTGCATGTCCAGCCAAAAATTAGTACTAAAAATCAACTCGGAAGTTTGGCCCATTGGTGTAAATTTGACAACAGCAATCATCAAGTATGGTCACTGGAAAGGAAAAGAAAATATGGAAGACCAAGAGAGACCTTGCGTAGAACCATCATCAGGGAAGGCTCAACAATGGGTAAGACAAACACCCAAGACCTAAAACAGGTTGCAACGAACCACCAGATATGGACTGATATGACATCTGCCCTATCCGACACTTTAGGCTCAAGATGTAAAACTAATTATCAAGTGCAGTTTGTCTACAGAAAAAAATGTACATACTAAAATGCAGATAGGGCTAAATCATTGCGCTGAAAACAATATTAGGACGATATAGTAAAAAAAAAAAAAACGAAGCCGAATTAACCTTCCAACACTTGTCCTGTCATCACTTTTTAGCCTGAGAGCTTTGATGGAACTTGTAAATTATTCCCCGATGGAGATTGAAACATTTGCTCAACCGCCTGACGGGAAAACTTGCAAACCATTGCACCACAGTGAACCTATAGCCTAATATACTGCTTTTAATGTGGCTCCTAAGTCGACTGAGCTTTAAATGGGTACCCAGTAAAATCATGGGATGTAAAGACGACCGGCGTGATGCCGACGACATCACCCACTAACCGACTAACCCGTTATACCCAATACGCTTGAATGCATGGAAAAGGATCCTTTACATGTCCTTATTTTATGTCGTGAGTGCGAAACTGTGTTCACAGCTCATTATCTGCAGATCGAAACAAATGAAGTTAAAAATATGTTGAAAGCAAATGGTGTGTTTTGTGAAATACAAAACAGATGTTTATGTTTTCTTCTTAGACAAATGACCTCGACAATGCAGCAGCGTCCTATAATCGAAACTGATATCTAGTTTCCTGTTTTAAAAAAAAAAAAAAAACTAGAATCGAGTGCTGACTGGTCTATAGAATATAGGTCTAGTCTCATATAACCAGTGTGCTCGCAGGCGTGGTAAAGGGTTCTACTTGAGCACGGTTGTGACTTCCTCGAGCGTGTTGCACATTCGACAGCACTACACAGGCTTATCGGGGACAGCCGGGCTAAGACTGTCTATTAATGACCTTCCATGACGAACTGTTGAAGCTTTTTGTGCGACCCTCTGTTAAGAGAGACCAAACTATAGAAGACAAAAACCATAATTATGGACGACGTTCCACTCACCTTACAAGTGATTTTAACCTTTTGGTAATATTCTTCTGGGTCAACGCTCCTTTGATGACTTTGCAGATCATTGTGGAATGTGAAATTCGTCTTGCTATTTTTTAGGGTCCGCTTTGTTTACCAGTCTACTGATTTACAGTTTCTGATTCAAGCAGCACAACGCAGTTAATAACTATTGTCTAGCCAATTGTGCATCGTACGTATGATACCAGGCCTATATGCTAAGCATCAAGCTACTGTCATTATTATCTAGGACACAGCCATCGTACCCATTTTAGGCTAGACCGAACAGAAAGCAAAGATCAGTTTTGAACATGCTAGTAAATCCGCTTTTCAGATTCAAAACTGTGACTTTCCGGCCGACAGACAAGCGTCCAGTCTTATCAAACCCGTTGTTTCCATGGTCCAATAAAATCTTCTACCAGTATCATCATAGAAACTTTGTATTTTTTGGATGTTTTACACAGAAAGCACCAAAGGAGAAGACTGTATGCAAGCTCCTAATGACTACTATCTCTTAAACCTGTTAAGACAATGGACTGCTGACTGCAATGGTCGGCATCAATAGTTATAAGAGAAACAAGATTGTGATGTAATGGTATTTTCAGATCAAAAGTGGACACGGATTTACAAAACGGACAATGAAGGGTAACACCTACACTAATTAAACAAGGACCCTCAAGAAGAACTGGGTTATGATTAAGTAAAGTAAAGTTCCCTTTTCACGCCTTTCGGCGCATCGGGCATATGGGCAGAGCGTCCCATATTTTTACAGACCATCAGCACTCTGTGGGTAATGTGGTCAGCATTACGCCGGGTTATGATTATAAACGAGAAATAAACGTGTACCGGAAGAGATTTCATACACAATATATCGAAAGCATTGTACAGCAATTCACAGAACTGAGAAGTCTTCTTATAGAGCTTATCGACTTTTAAATCAAACAGGCGGATTATGATCTTGTTGGTACTTGGTCTTTTTTAAAGTAATACACTTGGCTTTGTGTAAAGTTAGTTCTTCAGGGGACGCTGAAATTCAACCTGAAGCCAGTGCTTGCGGTTTACTGAGCATTCTTTACTTTATGCATTGCTTTCTCAACTTTTAGTACTCAATGTACTTGATACCCTTGTCGATATCACCTCAAAGTTGTTTATTTCCAAATCATAGCAGCAGTAATCTAAACGGGTATCTTGGAATTATAATTGCGCTCACAGCCCTTAAACCACACACACTGTGGTAGTGTAATTTCCTTATGGTGCATTTAGGATTCATGATTCGTTGAAAACAAAAATTACAAGCTTGGTCCTCTTTGAGCGACCCGAGGGCCTGCTATATTAAGAACTGTTTCTTTGCTATCTTAGTTTGAATTTAGTTTCTTGGTGGCACAATTTCTGTAACTTTTAAAGGATGTTTGTCCTGTCTTTGTATACCATACTTGCAGGTGTTCTTCTTCACCAAGAATACGATCAAGTGTCTCTCAGTGTTTAACTAGATCACTCAAGCAACACATGTGTTCTGGGCCTCAGGACTAAGGTTTCTGTGGCTAGTTGGTATTCAAGAAATATGCAGGTAACTAGGGATTCGAACTATGGTCTTCTACATGAGAGCAGGGTGTGCTTATCGTTCGATCAACCGCTTTTTCCGAGACACCCTGTTTTCCTTTTTTTTTTTTCATTTTCACTCTTTTTTTTTTTTTTTTGTCTTTTGTTTTCTTCTTTTGAACTTTTTCTTTAAAGGGTGGTTGGGACCTTGTGTTGTTGTTTATAACTCGGGTGTTACATCTGCGCTTTTCATCCTTATACACGTAATTTTAGCAAATCTGTTCTCTTTCATAACATAAATTCTTACTTCCTGCTTTCTGACTAAGAGTTAATGAGGTCCCCAGCAGCAGCCTTTGAGTGTTCGTGAACTATCTTGCGTAAAAACAATGCACATAAACATCGAAATTGAACAGACGACTTTAGCCAGTGTTTACCATGTAAATGGAGCAGATGTGATGTAGTGACCATACGCCCAACTGTCGATCCGATGGTCTTGGAATCAAAATCGAACGCAGCCGGGTTTTTTGTTTTCTAAAATAGCTTTGACGCACAGGTCGATCCATACTTAAAATGGTACAACGTATTGTCCTGACAAGTTACAGCGGCCAGCGTTATACTGACCACATCACGCACCAAGTGCCTGTTAGTAAGCGAAAAGTGAATTGCATGGTACTGAAAAAGTTAACTAGTTGTCTTTTACGACATGCATGCTTACTCTCGCGGTACTAAAAGGTTTCACAGGAGATTCCAAAGTTAAGAAAAATAAAACATAATGAAAAATCCTGAAAACATTACTCTTAAATTGACAATATATATACACTTTGATTTTGGCAGTTTGGGAAAGAAAGATTTTGTTTTTGTTTTTTTTTTTTTTGTTTTTTTTTTTGTTAGTGTGTTCGGATTTAAAAAAAAAAAAAGAGCAACACAGGACAGAGCAAATTATGCTATTTATGAGAATCAAGGTTTATGTTCATTACCACATCATTGTTTGGGACCGAGTTAATGAGCATTAGTACTAGTGCAAAACATGTAGAGCCTCCAAGGCTGAATGTGTTTATGATTACTTTTTCTTTCTCGTTTTCAGACCATGTGTAAAGTGTACTACTTCACGGAAAGCTTCAGCCTGTGTGCTTCTGTCTTGTTCCTGGCGGTAATAGCCATCGAGAGATACATCGTGGTGATGCATCCGCTAAGGGCCAAGAACCTCTTCACCAACTGCAGGATGCATGCTGCACAAGTGAGTTGCCTTCTCCTTATCACAGAAAGGCATTCGCTGCCCCTTTGTTTTTAACATGTTAAAAAAATCCCCGTCTAAGTTATGGGACCAAATAGTGGGAAACAAATGCATCATAAACAAGGCTGTCGTAAGGACCGACCTGCTGGGGGTTTCCATTGATGTCAGAGTATATCTGCCCGAGAGGCAAAGAACAACCAAATGCACACACATCATCATCATCATCATCATCATCATCAGGTGCCTTGCCGACTGGCGTGGGCAATCATGCCTCTTCATAATCTGCGATATCTTACAGCATGTATCAGTTCGTGTGCCGACACACCTCCATGCCATGCAACAAGACTGTCAAGCATCTTCTCTCGTTGTCTTCCTCTATCTCTTCTTCTACATATATTTCCAGTGGTCACAACATGTTCTAGTTCCCTCTTCTCATAACATGGCAGAAAAATGATGACTGTCTCCTTCTGATGTCTGTGATAAGTTGTCTTCGGGCTCCCGTCTCTTTCAAAACCTCTTGGTTGCTCTTTTTGGCTGTCCAAGGTATTCTAAGCATTTTTCTGTAAAACCACATCTCCGAGGCCACCAGAATTTGTTTGGCATGCCTACCGATTGTCCAGGATTCACAGCCATATGTTAAAACTGGATTTATGTAGCAAGCAAGAATTCTTTTTCTAACTCTCAATGACAAGGATATATTGCACAAGATGTTTTCCATTTTATAAAATGCAGTTTTTGCCTGTCCTATTCTATTTCATATCTCAGTTATACATCTTCCATCTGATATTATCCATGTGCCCAGATACTTAAATTTCTGTACTTGTCCTAAAATAACACCATCGACTTTTATTACACATTTAGGAATAGTTCGTTACTTTGATACCACCATTACTTCTGTCTTCCCATTATTCAAACTAAGGCCCATTCTTCCACTTTCTAACACCACAATGTCTATCATTTCCTGTAGTTCTTTCTGACTTGTTGCTATCAAGACTGTGTCATCAGCATAATGTAAATTGTTTATATTGTGTCCACCAACCACAATTCCTGGCATACAAATTAAAGCTCTCATTATATATTCATTGTATATTGAAAACAAATCAGGTGGCAGTACACATCCTTGTCGTACGCTCCTCTTTATGCTTTGAAATGTACCTAAACAGTTGTTAATTCTTTTAGCTGCTGTTTGCTGCCAATACATATTCTTTATTATTCGTAGATCTTTCCCATCAAAGTTTAATTTTTCTAACAGTTTGATTACTTCTTTATGCTTCACACAGTCAAATGTTTTTGTATAGTCTATGAAGCATATGTGCACACACATAAACCAATAAAACGGACATAAATACAAAACTCAGGCCGTAATACGAAGCTAAAGTCCAAACAGACAAACAGCCAGGTCTTTCCGTCAGGGCTTACAACTCGTGAACAAAGAAGAAGAGGACGAAGGTATGAAAGTAGAACATATTGACAGGCATATTCTTATCGTGTCGCCGGCCATAAACTTTGACGGAAAGTTTTAATTTGTGTGTGTACATCTGGCCTTTGGTTTCAGATCGTGAGTTGTGCGTCCATGTCCCTATTAGTGATCTGGTTTTTTTTTTTTTTGGTATGCATACTGTTAGTTCTCCACCTGGCAGTTAGATGTTCTCCACCTGGCAGTCAGATGTTCTCCACCTGGCAGTTAGATGTTCTCCACCTGGCAGTTAGATGTTCTCCACCTGGCAGTTAGATGTTCTCCACCTGGCAGTCAGATGTTCTCCACCTGTCAGTTAGATGTTCTCCACCTGGCAGTTAGATGTTCTCCACCTGGCAGTTAGATGTTCTCCACCTGGCAGTTAGATGTTCTCCACCTGGCAGTTAGATGTTCTCCACCTGGCAGTTAGATGTTCTCCACCTGGCAGTTAGATGTTCTCCACCTGGCAGTTAGATGTTCTCCACCTGGCAGTCAGATGTTCTCCAGCTGGGAGTTGGAGGTTTTCCACCTGGCAGTCAAATATTCTCCACCTGGCAGTTAGATGTTCTCCACCTGGCAGTCAGATGTTCTCCAGCTGGGAGTTGGAGGTTTTCCACCTGGCAGTCAAATATTCTTCAACCAAGAAGTAAATACCACTAGGCAGTCGCTTTTGTCCCCACATGATTCTTAGGTGGCAGTGAGTCTGTCCTGGTTTTCCACCAGAAAGAGAAATCCACAAACTACACGTCTGGTAACAAACTGGAAAACTAAAAACAAAAACAGGCGTTTAAATTCACGTAAGCTGACAAACATAAAGACTTGCATGTAGACATGCTATGTATTATAACTAACGTCCCATCACAAGGCGAATTTTTGTGTTATTATAAACCCCGCCCCAGCGTGTCGGCGACCCCAGTATAATGCCTACGGGGTTGATTAGGGTTACAGGGATCTTTTCCCGGGTGATTCTGATCAGAGTGGTGGTACCTTGTCACCGGGAGTTTGCCGCTCGGTGCGATGTCCTAGTAGTGCTGAACGTCAATCAGACATGTAGGCCAACTGGCACATGTGGAAAACAATTGAAAACTACAGCGGTTTTAGAATTGTCATGTTTAAGCATGTTTTTGAATGCATCTCGGCCAAAAGATAGCATCTTAGAGACCTCACTCGTAGGTTTTGTGTTGTAGAAATCTTAATCGTAAACCTGCTTTAGAAAACTAAATCGCAGGTTTCTTGTTAATATCGACGTCGCAAGCTTGGTATTGTCGAGATTCCCCTGTTGTGTGTGACGTCTAAAAGTGTGTGTTTTGGTAGTCTTTCATTGCCAGGAAAATCAAAAGAAATTTGCCTCACTGTCGCATTTGAAAAAGCGGTGTACATACAATTAATCCCCGAACAGTTCAGAAATATGGGCACGCAGTAAAGACAATTATAGCACCAACAGCAGTACAACTATAAGAACATTTTTTGAACAGACTAACTCAGAATGGAACAACTCTGATATGAAGATCAATGTAGACAAAACAAAAGTGTTGACTCTCGAAAAAGGGGGAGGGGGGGGGGGGGACACTAATATCAAAACTGATAAACACCAGTTAAAACAGGCAAATGATTTTACATATCTGGAAAGTATTTTATCAAAAGACGGAAGAATAAAAAAAAGAAATCAGACAAAGATACAACAAAAAACAATCAAATGTTATGTCAAATGGCACCAGTTTTGAAATGCAAGCACGTGAATATGAACACTAAAAGAACGCTTTTCAGCACAATATTTTTACCAACGCTATGCATCAATGTCAAACATGAACACTGTCTTCAAAAGACAGAACGAAAATAGTCACGACAGAAATGACATGTTTACGTTCTATGCGGGGTTTAGTTTAGTTTGTACAACGGATTAACATCTTGGCACAACGGTAGTAACCCATAAGCGCTCCGTTCTACTTCTAACTTAAGCCTGAGTCCGCAGGTCTAACGAGGAAAGATAGCATTAGGAATGATGCTATTAGGAGGAGAGTCGGCACAGACCCAATACTAAACTATATAGGTAGACAACAAATCAAATGGTTTGGTCACCTAACCAGGTTGGCATCAGACAGGGCAACACAGAAAGCAATGTTGAACAGATACAACGGTAACAGAGCCAGAGGTCGACTGCGCAGAATATGGATAATACAAATATCAGTGACACTGAAAAGTACTTTTTACGAAGCCGACAGAAAGGTCCGTACCAGAGATCTCTTCCTCAACTGACGCCGCGAGACATTCCAGGAGTAAAGAAAAGACAAAAAAAAAATAAAAAAAAATAAATGCGTAATGCAGTTCCTGGAGGCGCCAAAGCCAACAGTCGCCAACAGAAATGCAGTTTGTTGTTGACGCAAATAGATTGTTACAATAAGTTGGTCACACGCAGGTGCAAGTATAATGTACTGTATTTCACTAGGCCACATGTAAGTCGGCTGCCGGCCATACTGAATATCACGAGTAAACGAAATGCATTACACACGAAAACATACGCAGCTCACAGTGCTGCTTCAAGCACTTAAAATGGAATGGTGATCACCAAACCTGACAGTGGAGCCTCGCTTAACAAGTTCCAATACGAGTCGAAAGTCGCTGTTAATAAAGGTCGAGTGGCCGGTCATTAATGACGTCAAGACCACGTGGAGCGACTCAAGTCCCATCTTAGGATGTATAAATTAACACACTCCTGATGAATACCTACATTTACGAAATATCAGGCTACCGAGCACAAGCAGGATTAATGATCCCCAGCATCAAATTATTCTAACAAACTCATGTTATAGCTATTTTAAAACGACTGGCGTTATAAGATAGGCTGCAGCTTCCCACAACACCCTCTAAAAATGTATGAATCATTACAAATAAAAGTTTTGTTTCTTCTTTCTCATTTTTCAACTCCTCCTCATTCTCCTCATTCTTCTTCTTCTTTTTTATGTCTTCCTCTTCTTCTTCTTCTGCTTCTTCTTCTTCATCTTCTTCTTCTTCTTCTTCTTCTTCTTCTTCTTCTTCTTCTTCTTCTTCTTCTTCTTCTTCTTCTTCTCTTCTTCTTCTTCTTCTTCTTCTTCTTCTTCTTCTTCTTCTTCTTCTTCTTCTTCTTCTTCTTCTTCTTCTTCTTCTTCTTCTTCTTCTTCTTCTTCTTCTTCTTCTTCTTCTTCGTCTTTTTCTTCTTCTTCTTCTTCTTCTTCTTCTTCTTCTTCTTCTTCTTCTTCTTCTTCTTCTTCTCTTCTTCTTCTTCTTCTTCTTCTTTCTTCTTCTTCTTCTTCTTCTTCTTCTTCTTCTTCTTCTTCTTCTTCTTCTTCTTCTTCTACTACTTCTTCTTCTTCTTTTTTTTTCTTCTTCTTCCTCACCAAAAATACTGCGATAAAGTGTCGATCAGTGTTTAAATCGAACACTTAAGCAAGCGACGAACACTGTGAAATCTCTGTCTCCTACTAAAGACAACAACTGTTGTGTGACATCTACGTTTATAAATTCAAAGATCAATACCTCTTATAACGTGATATACAACATGCTAATATAC